CCTGAGGCCTTCCAGGTCCTTGGGCGGGGCCCTTTGAGTCCAAGTTGTACAGAACAGATCCTTTTATGAAGGGGATTTGTTCTGTGAAGTTTGGATTCAGTGAAAGGGCTGCACGTGAGGGCCTAGAGGGCCACAGGTTCCCCGGCCTTGGTCTAGCCCCACAGCAGACAGTAGAACAACGGGCTTGGAAGTCAGCAAGATCCAGGTTCCAGTCTTTCCTCCAGACCAGAGGTATGCTGGAGTCAGTTTTAGCTGCCTTGGGAGATGTCTTTAATTTTTCAAGTATGAGCATTTACCCTTCAGAAATTTCCAGGCTTGATTTATTGCTTGGTTGATTGTCTAGACTTGAGAAATTGTTAATGATGATGATTAAATCCCAAATATTGTGTGCATACAGTGTGTGTATATTCCACACCCTCCCCCCTCAGGAATCTGGTTGTTAAACATTTACCAAACACACCCTCGTACTGCTCTCTAAACAAGGCTCAGCAGGAGGCCAGCAGAAGGTTCAGGGAATGATATCATCAGCAAACTGGAGGTCTGGGGACTGTATAACAACAACATCATCAACAACAACTAGTATTTGGATAGTGCCTAAGGTTTGCAAAGCGCTTTCCATCCCTTATATCACATAAGCGTGCTAACTCCCTGGCTCCAGACTCTCCTAGCAAACCACTGCTCTCAGTTGCCTTCTGACAGTCTCTAAGGTCCTTTCTGGCCCAAATTTGAGTGGGAGTAGGTGGGAGGCCTGTCACAGTGCCATGATGAGGTTGGTGTTTTCAAAAAAATCACAAGAACAAGTCTGAAAATGGGAAGACTCTCAGTGTGACACAAGAGGAAATTGGTGAGGAATAGATCCTAGAACAATAGCTGGAAAGTGTGAAAAAGTTCAGTGGGAAGATGTCCCTGTGGCAGAATTGAGTCCCGGTACAGTAATGGCGAGGAGGTGTGAACAGGCAGACTAGTACTGGCACAACAGGAGAGATGGGTGGAAGTTGGACGAATGGAGTAGAAAGTGGTGGTGAGGATCCTCTCTGGAGGCTGGGCTGGGTTTCTGTCCTGGGGCCCCACAAAGAGAAGCGGGCCAGTGTCTCCCACCTTCCCCTTAACACCAAAGAGTAGACAGCCCAAGTAAATGCTGTTTGGGATGGCTTTTCTGGCTGCTGTTTTTCATATAGCCTCTTATTTCAATTGAACGTCTTTCCATTTCCGATCTTCTAGTGAACTTTTGCATCAATATTGTCCCGGGGAGCCGTTTGCTTTTTTTTTAGCTTCCCCAGTAAGTACCCATCCTATCTTGGCCCTAAGGACATTTCTAGATGGAACCACAGGAAGGAAAACATTTTTCTGGAGCCCTGGTTATCCTTCCTTTAGTCTAACAAGCATCTACTATGAGCAAGGAGGGGCTAGGGCCTCTCTGGAGCTGACCTTCTCCTAGGTCTGTCCTGGCTAGCCCCAGCAGGTTGTCCTCAATTGGGGGGATTGGGGCCTGGTTTTAAAGGCTTCTAGAAAATGAGTTTCCTAAATCTTCTTCTCTTGAATACCACTTGAGCTCCTCAAGCTTCTGATAGTAGAGTTAAAGTCGGAATGAGAAGGGACATGAGGCCAATGTCTTATCCTGTCCTTGGCAGAACTGGAGAACTGATTACAGAACGGCCTCTCCTTGAGATGTCATCCTTCAGTCTCCAGCTACATGGACAAAGTTTCCATGTTTTGAAAAGTCCATTCATGTCTTTTTTTAGAAGTGCTGTATTACTGATGATGTGGTTCCCTATAGCTGGAGTACTCTGATATGGCCTAGAATTGTGCAATTCCATTTTCCTTCAGTGTCGTTTTGACGAGTCATTCCAAATCAAGTCCTCTCTAAACATAGGCCCTTCACTTTGGCCATCCCCTGTTTGCTCAAAGGGCACTATCTTGAACTGTCAGTCCTGTTGAGATTTTCCCAGACCAATGAGGAAATTTTTCCTCTTCTCTTCATCCTTCCCTCTCTCCAACATGAGGGCAAGGCCTAGGCAGCATAAGCTTGATCAGTGGTTAGAGCCACCCCCCCAGTTCTACTTGTGGCTTTTCCTCACGCCCTTCTCTGGTTTTGCACCCTTCCCCAAAGCTTTAAACAAAGTCCTCTCTGTCCTTTCACTGTAGCTTTCGTGAGTCTTATACTGAGGGGAGATTTATAACCATTTTATTTTGTCCTGAGTGAATTCCAGTGATAGAGCTTATCCAGATGATGACAAGGGCTAGCATGTGAACACGGGTACACGTATGCATATGTTCACACAAATGTAACAGGAGTTAATGTGTATCATAGTCGATTTTATTGAATAGTAAGTGTGTATTATCACATGAAGGTTTTTCCCCCCAAGCTATTCATGGCACGGACTAGATACAGCTTTTATTCTTAGCTGAAATGAAAGCATCTGCCCACGTGGTATCTACTAATATTGCAATACTGTGGCTGGGCAGCTCTGCCCCCAGTAGCTCAGCACAGCCTGGGGGCTTCCCAGCCTCCAAAGTCAGCTTGCAAAGAACCCCTCGATCGCAGAGGTAGTTGGTGCTTCTACTGTGGCCCACAGAAGGAGGCATAGGGGTATTCATTAAATACAGTAGGAAAAATCTAATTCAACTCAACTGGTTTTCAACTGTATGTATGACCACAATGGGACATACAAGTACTCAGCAGACTTTGGCACAGCCAAGAGCACACATTCAACATCAAAGCATGCAAAGTAGTTTGTGCAGACAATGATTGTTTTTTTTTTTTTTTTTGAGTGATGACCTCAATTTGACTTGAGCGTACCAAGAATGCATTAGAAAAAGTTAAACTATATTATATGCAGTAACTAGCAAAAACAGTAGAGGGGTTTTGGGCAATTTTCTGAGTATTCTGTAGAAAATCTGCATAAATAGGCCCGTTGCTTTTAGCAGTAACATACTAAACATAAGATTTCAGTATCATTAGATTCTATGCTCAGTGGTTACATATTTTTACTCTGTACTTTTTCTTTTGTGATATTTTTTTTTTGATCTGAGCCTTGGCAGCAAATAATGGGAGTGGGGTCACTGTGGAGTTAAGAAACAATACTTTGTAAATCATTTTGCTTGAACTTCACAACAGGCCCTAAAATATTTGTCATTTTTTGAAGAAGGCATTTGGGATTGCTCTGAATACAAATATAGAATCTATCAATAATGGTTCTTTAATTCAATTTTTTTGAATATTAGAAAATAAGGCAAGTTCATGTCTTTAAAAGGTGATATATGCACATGTCACTCCTGTCCTCCTAGCTTCACGAGCTCCATCACATGGCAGAATCTCCCCCTACCCCCACCCTGCCCCCAGCCCCCAGTAACCAGGGTGACCATTTACAATAGCATGTGCTGCAGCCAGAAAAGCTAGCTAAGGCCCAAAGCAGTCCCAGCATGAAGTTTCAGAAAGGCTTGGTGAAGTCTGCAACACAGGCACTGTATGTTTACAGAAATTAAGAGAATGTTCTTTTATCAACCATAAAACTGATATGTTTATGAAAATCACAAGGTAAAAAGAGGGACAAAGTTGTAAAAATAGGCATCTCAAGATGTTGCTGGAGTTCCTCCTCTGCCTCTCACTGTTTCCCAGTCCCACACCCTGCTGAGGAAAGGGGGCAGGAAGGGTTAGGGTCAGCCCTTCTACAAATGGGTCATTTGGTTGAATGGTTTTCAGGTTGATGAAGTGCTTGTCCTTTTGACCTACGGCCAACCTTAGTTTTTACACTACTAGATATCGGTTGTCTTTATAAGCCAACATCTAGGCCTTTCCACTTTTAGAACTCTCATACAATAACCACATAATTTACAAGAATGAGTTTTATAACCAAATTCCAAAAATGTCACGCTACACATTTCCCAAATGGAGCCTAAACCAACATGCAAGTCTAGTCTCTTGAGGGGAAAAATAGGGACCCATTCTCTTTCTCTTGGCATTTTTTTTTTACAACAGGAGTTTCTATTTTAATCTGTGACTGGATGAAAACTAAGACTAATAACAATTCTTAAACACTTGACTTGGAGAGCTGTTCCTTTGGCATTGTGATAGCAGTGACCACAGCTGAGGAGAGAGGATGGGCTCTGGTTTAAGTGGTAGAATACATCAGCCAAGGGGAGGCGGAGAAGGACACTGCTGACCTTTCAGGTCCCGAGTTTGCCTAGGCTAGCAGGCTGTGTCTACACAGGCAGGCTGCAGAGCTGTAAGAGTCAGTGCCCACCCCCTGCCTCCAAAGAGAGAAATGCTCAGGATAGAAGTGGTTCCATTGGCGAGGTTCAACTGAGCATGTCTTCATTCCCTGGGAGACCCACACAACTCCAAGTAACGTAGCCATTCTATTCTGCAGACATCACTTGAGGACAGAAAAGAGGACTCCCCCCAAAAAAGCCACTAAGCTCTGGAGAGTTTGGTGGCCAGGATAAGGATGGAGTCCTCCTCCTTCAGCGACCAAGTCCTAAAATGTTCAGATGAGGAACATCTGATTTTTAAGTGTTGGATTACGTTCAATGTTCCCCTCCAGCCAGCTCAGGATTCTGGAACCAGCTTCCATGCATACAGGTTTGGGGTAGACCAGGTGAGGAAATGAGTAGCTGTTGGCACTTCTCTCTAACCCAGTGGAGGCCAGGGAGCAGAAGGAAAGGCCTTTCCACTGCCTTGGACTTAAGAGGGTCCTCTAACATTGCCCCATGTCCCATAACCAGGGAGCAAGGAAGAAGGCAACCCTCGACCAAGAGCAGGCAGAATACTTTTTGTCTCTAAGACAGAAATCAGGATAATAGAATTTTTAGAATCATTCTTAGCAGAAACAGTAAAATGTGAGGTGCTTTTTCTCAAAAATATCTGTATAAAGTATCTGTACAAAGAATCCATATATATGTGCACAATTAGAAAATACCCCTTTAAATAAAATTTAAAACACCCTCTGGAGCTGATTCCATCCAAATGAGGCATGATTTTTTTAAGCAGTAACAAACTCTAGCTTGATGAAAAGTTTAATTTCAGCGAAAGCACCTGAATTCATTTGATTTCCCTGGGGACCAGAAGCCATAGAAATGGAGTTCTGCAAGTGCGAAGGTGGTTTCTCCAAAGCGGTGTTCTTGGTCTTCATTGAGAGGCCCAGAAATGGGCTTCTTCCCTTTGAAGAGCTTTCTCTTCTCTCCTCCTCGAGCCAGTGGCAGGTGTCTTCCTTTCCTCACCTGTCCCTCCTCAGCAGCCCACCTGAGAATACACACCCAATGCAAGTCCTTACACTGAACACCCTCACTGCTGACTCTGGTAATTGTGTTTCTATTAGTACAATCACGGGGCTTTGGGATTTAGCAGTAGATTTACAGAGACACAGAACTTGTATTTTATTCACTTTCTTCTTTGTCAACGCAAGCCCATGCTGAACTCTGCTCAAAATGCCGCTTGGCTTCCACCGCCACTCTCCGAGGTCTTTGGCCCACGGGACTCATGCGGATGCGACGGCTCCATTGTGGCGGGAACGTGACCTTTCTAAAGGTGCTCGTCTGTTATCTGTAAGACAGAGAACACAAACTCTGTAAGTGTTAGACCCTGGCTACTGCAGAAGAACAAGAGGTTTTTCAAACAGTTCTGAAAAATCACTTCAGGTGATCACGTAAATAAGGCACTGCAGCTGCTAGGCCCAGTCCTCACCGTTCAACAATCAGCAATAAAATGATTTTCTGACTAAGAGAAGTCAGAGGGATAAAAGAAAGCAGAGGTGATGGCAAAGTCATTGGCAGAGATGTTCCAGTGAAAGGCTTGAGGGATGGTTAGTATCTTTTGTTAGAAAGTCTTTTGATGCAGCATATTTTCATTGTCTCTACTGGCTGTTGCAGAGGGCACCCCGGTGAGGGCTGAGCAGGAAGGAGTTTGGGCTTTTTGCTCTTGACCTCCGTGTCACTCAGACCTGCTGACTAGCATTTGCCCTACTGTGCGACCGGAACAAATCCAGAAGGTTACATATGCATTATGGGGCCAAATAATGAACATCTCTCTCCTCCAACCATCACAGGAATGCAAAAGTTTTAGAGCACTAAAAGTTGCTGAAAATAGTTTTTGCTTTAACAGGGAACTGCATTTTGATGATGACTACTATGTTATTATCACCTCTGTTTTATACCCAACTTAAATGCAATTGATGTGGATGAAAATCCTTTACTTCGAATGAGCCTAAGTCCCTAGAAATGCCTACTACCAGCACTTCCAGAAATGCTAACACTTTACACTTGTTAATTTGCTAATTCACACAGCATCCCCAGGAGGTAAGCCCATCTCCTTCTATCCTATTATCTCTGCTTTAGTGATGAAGGTTACACAGCAAATCAGTGGTATGAGCAGGGCTATAATGCAGAGTGAATGCTCAAACATTAGGTCATGCTTCTTTGGGAGCTAGCCTCTGGAGACTGTTTCCCTCTAGAACAGAAGCTGGATAATGAAGATCCAATGATGTTGGGCATTATGTCTGTCCCCTAGTAAGGTTGGCCAGTGGGACCTCTCGATTTATTCTAGGGCCCTGACTTGCAGAACAGGGTACAGCTAACTGGCTCTCCTGATCGTGGTCTCATTAGTGCTGTTTTGGAATTCGAGGAATTGACAGGCTTCTGTAGACCCAGGTTACTTTGAAAGGCCCAGGGTGGTTGGGTGGGCAAGTGGACTTTCTCTACAAAGAGACATAGCTGAGTAACGGAGACTTTATTGTTCCTTTTAAAGATGTCATTAACACATATATTATTTTGTGATATGTATCACAGCTATAAGTGTAGAAATAACATTCACGGTTAAAATTATCTTTTACTTAGATATTACTGGTTGGCATAAAGATTAGCTTGGGATGTTCTTTTCTATTCCTCTTGGCATCATAGAGCAAATGAGATTATAATAGAAGAGTTCCCACTTCTAGTCATTTCCTCAAGCCTTGGCAGATGGGTATCCTAGTATCCTTTGGTACTTTGGAACAGCAATGAATTTAAATAGATGAAAAAAATCATTTATTAAGTGGGTATCCTAGTGGCCACCTGAGTCAAAGGGATGCCAACGTGGTGGTTCTTGGAGCTCTCTCCTACGGTGGGGCATCAGGAAGCCAAGTAAACATAGCATCACTGCAAGAAATGCAGTACCTTCACTTTCTACCCTTTTTGGGGAAGGGATAGGGACAGGCAATAAAAGCAATACACAACAGGGAAATTAGCTGAGTAATCATTTATCATCTTCTTGTCTGAGTTAACAGTATAATTTGGGGAAGAGACAATTTGACAGTGATCTCCTTTCCCACATGCCCAAGATCCACCATGGCGGGGGGGGGGGGGAGGTTGGCATTCTCAGTATGGTAAAGTACACTGCTAGTGAGTATATTTCACCTGCTGTGTTCATCATATCACCTGTATTTCTACAGTAGAGCACAGAGAAAATTTCTGTCAATGTTGTGGGTGACCAGTAGATAGAGCTCTGGGCTTCAGGAAGAGCTGAGTTCAAATCTGGCCTCAGATACTTTCTACGTGCCAGGGAAAGGATGGGCAGGTGAAATGTGAGTTCAGACACCAGCAAGGAGGCCAGTTTGACTGCATGTTGAATAAGTGAAGGAAGGCTTTAAATGCCAAGATGAGGATTTTATATTTTGGGACAGTTCTGAGCCAGTAAGGGCTATAGAGCAGGGGAGCAACATAGCCAGATTCCTTTGGCAGCTGTCTTTCTCAACCCTGCAACTTGCAAAGGAAAAGCCTTTTTGGAAAGAATGCTGCCTCAATTTGACCATTTGGCCTCGCTGTGACTGTAGGCAAGATGGATTAGGAAGGAGAAGCCTGGAAGTTGCTACACGGAATAGACTATGCTTCCAAACATCATGTGTGGAGGATGGATCAGAAGCCAGGAGACCATCTGAGAGATTTCTACCAATCCATGCAAGACATGGTGAAGGCCTTAACTAGAATTGTGGCTATGTGAGTGGAGAGAAGTGGGGGAGGTAAAGGGAGGGATGGAGGGTGACTATGAAGTGGTGAACCTGAGTGCCTACAGAGATAGTGGTAACTAACAGAAGAGGCAGCTAGGGGGCGCCACAGGGGAGACAGCACTGGGCCTGCAGTCAGGAAGACCTGAGTTTGAACCCAGCCTCAGACACTTACTAGCTGTGTGACCCAAAGCAAGTCACTTAACATCTATGTGTCTCAGTTTCCTCATCTACAAAATGAGTATTATAATAACACCACCTTCCAAGGTTGTTGTGAGGATAAAATCAGATATTTGTAAAAACCTTTGCAAACCTCAAGGCACTATATAAATACTACTGTTCTTAGTTGGGGGGGGGGGTGGTATAACAAGTTCTGTTTTGGATGGTTAAGCTGCCAACAGGATATTCAAGTGGAAGTGTCTAATACACATTTGTGGTGTGTGACTGGAACTCGGGACAGAGATGTGGGCAGATTGAGAGTCATATCTAGTTGAACCTAAGGGAGGTGATAAATTCTCTACTGAAAGCATGAAGAGAAAAGGTCCCAAGACAGAGCACTGAGAGACATCTTTGGTGAGTGGGCAGGACTTCAATGCATGCATGGTGATCCACCAAAGCAGACTGAGAAGCAACAGTATCCAGGGAAGGTCACAGGATGACCTCAAGAAGGATGAGTTGAGCCAAGTTCACCAAGGTGTGCAATGAAGGAGTGATGAGATCACAAGCCTGACTGCAAGGGATTGGGAGGTGAGGAAGGAGGGGAAACCAGTGTAAGACAGCCAACTTTTAGCTGTGAAGGGGACAATTTGAGGGGCTGAGGGAAACTGAGACGAGCTGCTGGAGAAGATGGACTTGGCCATAAGAACGGTCCTCACTCGGTCACAAATTGAAGCAGAGGAGGAGACTCTGGGGACTGCTGATGGACAGTTTCCATTTTCTCAGTAAAGTAAGAGCCCTTCGTTGAGTGGGATGAGGAGAAGAGGAGGTTTGGACAACCCAATAGGAGGTCAATTAGGAAATGATAAAAGGATTGTCATGCAGTAGTGAGGGCCCAGTTAAGACATTTAGGGGTCTATTTTGTTATCATCACATGTGCTTAACTCCTATTATAGTTAATGGGAGTTGTATGTCTATAGTCACAGTAGTCTGTGAAGTCCTTTAATATTATTGCTTTCCATTACCATCCTCATTATGTGAGTGGTGGACCCAATTTAGTGGACCCAGTTATCATGCTTATGCACCTTCCTCCAGGAATGTTCAACAGAACAGGAGTAAGATCGGAGAAGGTGAATGGCTGGTGGTCACAAAAAGGTCAAAGAGTCAGATTAGGGGGAGTGAGGCACAGGGACCTATGGAAGGATTTAGGAGGTTCTGTTCAGATAGAGCTCTCCTTTCTGGGGGTAAAACATATAGGTAGATGATAGTGAGATCAAGAGTACAACCATTTCTGCATATACAGTTGAGGAAAGGGGATGCCAAAGCAACTCCTATTTTGAAGTGTGCCCACATATAAGGGCAGGAGGAGAAGTCATCCCCGAGACAATGAGGGGATGAGATACAGAACAAATCAATTTCAGCAGAATTGGGGGAATTGTGCCCTCAATAGGGAAGGAAGCTCTAATGATAAATTAAACAATTCCACTGCAATTCTCATCTCAATGACACAGTTACACTTTTAAACTAGACACAGGTCAGGCTGGGTAATCGATATCCTTCATTATGTGCAAAGAAATCCACCCAAGAAAAAAGTGAATACTTACATTATGGCGGTGTCTTAGGTTGGCGGAAGAGATGGAAGTTATTTTAATGAGGATGGTAATGGAAAGCAATAATATTAAAGGACTTCACAGACTACTGTGACTATAGACATACAACTCCCATTAACTGTAATAGGAGTTAAGCACATGTAATGATAACAAAATAGACCCCTAAATGTCTTTCCAATTGGAAACGTGGTCTAGGTACTCACATGCTTTCACATGGAAAACTGTGATTGTAAAATTGATTTCACATTGAAATTGCCCAGGGTCTGGTGAGGGCAGTTTCCCTGGACTAGGGAGTGAAGGAAACATCTGTACAATCAACGTCTTTGCTCTTCTCATCTTCATGTTCATTATTAGTTTGATTATTAAGAGAAAGTCTCAATAGTTGCAATGGATTTATTAATTCAGTAGCTTGTTATCAGCATGCAACTCTGCTGTGCTAGGGGAAAAAAGAAATGACATTTTCTGGAACTGCTGCAGTAAGATTCCATCACTTTTCTCTGATTCACTTTTTTCTTATTCCTCCTGCCCAACTGTAACTCTGCTCTCTAGCTCTATTAGTACCCTTAAAGTCTGCCCACTTGTAAGCCTAATAATATCGAGGTACATTCTCAAACAAACTCAACTATAGTAACTTCAGGGAGATTGAAATATGTGATCAAAGTAAAAGCACGTGGCACAACAACGTAGCTTTAAGGCACTAAAATTTAATCCACATCAAGCTCCAAATGTAGAAAATCTCTGCTTACTTTTATTTGCTATAAGCAAGATAGTTCCCAAACATGCAGAACTAACCTCTGGGG